CATGGGCTCCATTTCACCCCGGGGGCTTCCAGCCAACATTCACTGGTTTCCATCTGTTGCGTCGCTCCACTTCACATCCATCTCTCCTTCCAACTACCTGCCTCGCAGCTTCAGGCTCCAGCAACAGGTCCGAAGATTGTGTGACCCATTACAAAAGGTCAAATCTTAGCATACTCTTAGGATAAATACGTATTTAAAGGCTCAATCATCAGAGCTGGACGAGAGGAGCAGAACCACCAGGGGAATTCATATTTATTTATAGATGAGGAAACTGACTATGGAGAATTACCTACTGTCAAATAATGATACATGTATAATGATAGCAAGACTGAAGACTTCTGACGTTGAGCGCAATGCTCTTTCCACTGCACCATGATGCTTCTTTTAGTCTATCTAGCCATCCCTGAATGTAGAGAGGAACTGAGCCTTTGTAGGTGAATTCCTGTAGCCATCTTAAGCACTCCACTCAGGTGTGAAGAATATTCTGAGCACTTACTCCAGAAACAGAGTGGAACCAAATTAACATTAATGCAGTTTAGGACAACAGAACACAGAGAATGGACCACTTAAGAAGAAAACAGAGTCCCAGTATGTAATGGTCAAGTTCTCTGTGTTAAAGATAGCTTTACTTACTGCAAAACCTACTTTGCATCGGAACCAAAATGTCCTCTGTAAAGTAGAAAACCATCACTAATTTGCTTCTTCTATCTCTTCCCTGCTCTGCACCTTTCCTTTTAAGTCCTCCTCCTTTCCCAGCATCAGTCCCAGGTTATGGGGAACGACTATAGCTCAGCTTTAGAGCTACAACCTGATGTTTTGGTGGAGACAGGCGAACACTGTAAGCATCCTTCCATGTCAGCTACGACCTAGGTCCTACCCACTTCCGTATTCCACTTATTGCCACTCTGCCTCCCTCCTCACACTATGGACCCTACACACCAGGCACACAGAACTGTGCACATTTCCCCGAATGCATCCGGCTCTTTATAAATCTGGCAGACATCTCTTCTTTCTTCAAGCTAAAACACAAGTATCACACCAACTGTTAGGCTCCCTTCAACCCCCCAGGCTCAGCTGGCTTTTCCACTCGTGTCCTCCTTTGCTGGGCCCTGACCTTCCCAATGCCATGGGATGGGTGGATTTCTCTTATATACCTAGTGTCCAACGGAATGAGCAGTGCACACCTACTTAGAAGAAAGGAGCTGCCATTTGTTCAATCCATGAAACCAAAGTGTAAAGGATGACACCATTCCGTCTACTGGATGGCAACGGGGTTACTGAATGCTACTATGCTGAGGCCTGAAATTCCAGGTCCACATAGCCGTAATAATGGTATAGTGGTTACCATGGTGTTGCTTTGTGCATAACTAATACAGTCACTTGTTTTCCACACACACAAAGAAAAGCACAGTGACTTTAAACAGCTAGTGTCTACAGGGCACAATTTTGGACTTCTTCTCATCTCCTGGCTCTGCTCACTTGGTACTGCTGTGTTTCTGTCCCACAAGCTGTCCCAACAGATCACAAATGTCACACACACCTGGAGAAATGGTGTCCGCTCTTTACACCAGCAAAGAACAGGAACTAGGTGACCATATCCTGATTTCTATTGTACTAAATTCCTGTGGGTAAAAAGCACAGCATGGTTTGCTTCTGTTTGGTTTGGTTTGGGTCTGCTTGTTTGTGATTCTGCTTCATTTGGTTTTATTTCTCTGAATGTTTCTCTAGCTTTTAAACTCCCAATGAAAATGGTGTAATCTTATCTTCAGCTCAATATAGTTATCTAATACAGTTAAATAAAATTGTAGTCATAAGGAAATGAAAGTGCCTCCTATTCCAGCGAAACCTAAATTTAACAATGTGTAATGCGTAAGTCTTAGATAATTTGCTCGAGTTAGCCAAACGACTTTCTCCTTGAGTGTTCTCTAGCCACCCACACGTTGATTCAACTCTGACCTAAACAAAAGGCAAACTAAACATACAAAACGAGCAGGCTCTTCATGTGACAATCCTGGTGCAGAGTTAGTTCACAGTCTCTAATATTCTGGCACCTTCTCAAATGTTAATTGCAAGTCTGGGGAAGGATGTTATTGTGCCACCTATAAATAGAACCAGTACATTCTAAGAACACGAAAAGGTCAGTTAATAACCCAATAGCTCATCGGGGATGGTTGAGCGTGACTTTCAGGTAAGTGCTAGTTGGTAAGAGCTGTAAAAATCTCATTGGGCAGACTCGTGTGCTGGCTTCTGTACAGGAGAAGCTTGAATCAGAGATCTACCCAACCATTTCTGTGGTCCAGCCCCTATGCCAGATGCCTTATGTTGTGAAGTTATTTTGGAATTATTTTCCCAAAGTAGACACAGAATGTTCTGAATTCCCCATGGCTTGGAACAGTCTCACATGTAATGAGAAGAGTACAGAGCTATGAAAAGACTGGCCGTGTCTGTGAGTGAGTAGGTATTTTCTGGGGCAGAGCCAACTAGCTAACCAAGTAGGTAACCTAACCCAAGAATTTAGTCTCACAAAAATCATCCTTTAATAGCACTTGCCAAAATTTTCCATCATCATCATCATCATCATCATCATCAACAACAACCACCACCACCACCACCACAAAACCAACCTGAGGAATCAGAAGAGAAATGAGCCCATTACCCTTATTCCTACCCCAAAACCCTTGGGGTCAAGGATATAACACAGAGGACTGGGCCCAAGTTCAAAATATTCTAGTCTATGATTTCTCTTTACAATATATGCTAGTTTTGAAGTCTGGTATATCAGAATACCTGCATTATAAAAATAAATATTTAAACTGCTTAACTGCTTATTAAATAATTAGTTAAATTATTTAATTCCTCTTACTTTCCATCAAAATTGCTGACTTAAATTAATGCTTCTAAAAAGTATACCACATTTATCTCATCACTTCTCATAGCTCCTGGCATGTTGCTAATACGTGGAGGCAGGACTCAGATACACACACACACACGCACGCACACACACACACACACGCACGCACGCACACAGACACGCATGCACACAAACCTACATAAAAATATACAAGAGAATAAATAAGAGCTAAAATATACGGTACAGAAAGCGAAGTTCATACAAGGGGAGACAATGCCATTAGAAGGCTGGACTGCAGGAACCTTTTAAAAATAACTTCTTCTTTGTTTCAATTGTAAGAAATCCTTTTCTCTTTGACCAAACTGCATTTTAGAATTTAGAAAAGACTGAGTTTGAATCTTTGAGTCAAAGAAGTTGCATGACTTTCCTAAGATTACACAGCCAGAAAGTGGAAAATCTAAGCTTCATCTGCAAAACGAACACAATATCTCCTTTCAAATGACCCAATGATACAGTATGGAAGCATCCAGAACATAATAAGCACTAAAATGCTTATTGCTCAACTTACCATAGAAATATTTACAGCCTATGTGATACCTGAAATAATGAAATTGCCCATCCACCTATTCCTCAAGTTAGGCTGGAGGCCACTTTTCCTAAAACAAGGAAGTAACACAGAATACTCAAGGATAAATTCATATGGGATAAAAGTTGAACAGTTTGTTCAAATGATGGGCTTTACAAATTCAAAAAAGAGACGGCTCAACTAAATATATGGGTTGTATTGGTACCAAATACTCTAAATATCCTTTATATATCTATTATTTTCCACAAAACTATTCTTTTTTTTTTGCCAATTCCTAGTTTTCAGCTAATTTATATCCAAGTCTTAACTTGGACTCATCACTAACACATATAATGGAAGAAACATATTTTTTTCAATGTTCTTGAAAACTTGTTCTCTTGCAAGTCCAAATATACTTAAAGTCTCACATCCTAAAAGTAAACTGAGGCAGGAATTATATCTGTCAGTTACTTTAACACTCTCTCTCTCTCTCTCTCTCTCTCTCTCTCTCTCTCTCTCTCTCTCTCTCTCTCTCCTGATTTGAATTGAATTGAACCCTGGACTTTCTTCCCTTCTTTTTGGCTAAATTTCAGAATTGCTTAAATGGTTTAGAGTCGACGCTTCATGTCACTTTATTGGTTAAAATCTGACATAGAGAGTGGTTGGCTTACATTTCCCAAAGTTAAGTGGCAAACATACATGAATAGAGTCTTTCTCCTTGAGGGTCTGGTTCTCGCAGCTGTAAGGGTAATATTCAGCAAAAATACTCCAATCCTGTTTTCCTAAAGACCTCTGGCTCCCGTGACTATGTAAGAATACAAAGGCTACACATGCTCAAAAATTCGGTTTATAGAAAAGCTCTTGTTTACCACATACACCCACTGACAAGGGAAATGATTCAGTTATGTACATTACGAAGTCATGGTAGCCAGAAAGAAAGGTTTGACAAGTCTACACTTTTCTGAACACATACTCAAAGACAAAAGTTTTAAGATTTTAATGAATAAGAAAAAAAGCTTAAGAGAAAGATGAATACAATAGGAGAAAATTATTTACTTCTAGTATATGTTAAAATCAGTCTAGAAAATGCATGTTTTTATTCTTTCTCATACCAGTATATATAATCCTCAGAAAAAATTAACCTTTTTTTCTTGAAGTTTTTTTTAGGGGGTATGTAAATGCATATTTCAATGCTTAAAGCTATCTATCTATTCATAAAAGTGTACACATGCACAGGATGCAATAATTTGCTTTTGAAAGAACGTAACAGAATACTCCATCTGGTATTGAATATGGAATATGATGAAGTCACTTTTAGATATCTACATGTACATCAGACTGGCAAGTCAGAGCTCTTCAATAAATTCTGCAAAGGCCAATTTGAAACTACTTTTGACCAAATCTTCAATAGAGCTCATTACTTAAAGCACTTGGATAGGAAGTTAAATGATCTGTATTGCATTTATTTCAACATCATTATTTACATGGCTGGATACAGAGCACTGCTGCTCCCTCAACAGAGGCCAGCCCGAGCAAACCATAGGCTGAATGACCTTGTATAATAATAAAAACAGCAACGCTTACCTTGATCCACTGTCCCCATAGAAGATCTAGGAGCTCAAGTGCTCACAGCGGAGCAATGGCAAAAAAACGTTCTTTGGTTAATAATAAAGGAAAGAAAAGCTCCAGACACCAAGAACCTGGGTTAACCATTGACTGTGGTTATTCCTGCAAGTCCACCCTGGGAACCTACACAGGTAGCCCTTGGCATTGGGTAAAGCGGGCGGCAGCCAGTCAGCTGAGACTAAGTTACCTCACCACCTCTGTGACTCTGGATAAAGTACAGAGTGAAGGTCACTCAAGCATATACCCTGACGAGGTTTTCACTCAGTCAGGGATACAAAGGAGGAAGATTTCCTGGGCCAGAAATATGCTCCACACAACGCCCGTCAAATATTTAGAAACAGGGTTGTTGGGAGCTGACCTATGGAAATCTTCCTGCCCGTGTGCAGACTTCGTGCAATTCAAGGAAACCCTTTTTACCAGAACTCTTTGTCTACATCTTAGCAGGTGAGGGCTGAGATTGCATGCCAATGAAAACTGAGACAAGACAACCAGAAATAGCTAAGCATCCATTCATACCTTTATGCAACAAGCCTTTAATGATTATTTACTGAGTAACAGCCCAGTTTCCAAAGAGCTGGCATCCACAGTTGAATACACCCTGATAAATAGAAGACAGAGATTAGGGCTGGAGGGCCCTCCCTCCCCCAACCCCAAGAATCAGAGCTTAAGACTGAAGGTAAATAAATATAGACTGCGGGCCAGAACCAGAGCGTACAGTCTGCGTACAGAGTAACCACCCCAGCTATGGGTCCTAAGGGGTGCGATGAACAGTTGAGGTGGTCACCTGGGCAAGCTGACTGACCGGAAGTCAGAAAATTGAACGATAAGTGAAGAAGTGGCTTTAAAATGGTAGCGCCAAGAGAAAAGTCCAGAAAATGTGAAGGGCAACCACAAGACACTAAGCGACAATGCCAAGCAATTCAGACCTTGGGGGGCCTGTACGCAGGAGAGCTCAAAAGGAGTATTGTGCTGGCAGGGAATCAGCATTTCTCTTTATTCCAAAGAGTGTTGGTAGCGAGGGGACACCATCCAGTTTGGTTAACCTTCCAAATTTAAGGGGCCATTTCTAGGTTCTGACACTAGTTGTTGTTTGGGGGTTGTTTGGTTTTTGTTTTCATTTTTAAAAGCATGAACCCTTGAGGAAGCGAGATTGGATTTCAATGTTGGTGTTGTCGCTTACCAGTTTTGTGACATTGGGAGCTGCTTCACCTGTCTGCACGCCAGTTTCCTCATCCATAAAACGGGGATGATAAAAACACCAGCACCACACAAACACCAGAACACCTACCTCAGGGAGATACTCAGGGTTCCAAACCTGTTAGCTATCTTTCGGGTTTAAACATTCTGAGGGCAGCACATGATCTGCAGCCTGTTACACAGTAACAAGTACAAGAGTTTGAACTCTCCAAGGCACCTAGCTTTTCAATCACCCATGAATGTCAGGGAAGCAGTGGACCCAGAGGTCAACTTTTTTGCAAAGAAATGTGAAGGCTCGAGAAAAGTCTACATTTCCATACTAATTGAGGCAACATTCATTGTGGTTTTTCTATGGGCAAGCCTGCCGTGCTTACTCAGTGAGTATTATCCATTACTCTGCTTAGTTACTGGCCTGTTAGAAAGCTGAGCTCTCTTTATTAGTGTTCTGTTTGAAAGGGCTTTTAAAAACACAATACATAACTCCCTCTGCTCTGCAAGGACAGTTTCAGGGAGGGTGGCTTTGCGTGGCTGAGTGTTTGGAGTGATCTGAGAAGATGAGGCATCTTGACTGTACAGCATAAAAAAGACCACAGCGAAGGGCAGAACAGGAGGCAGGATGGGGAGACTGGATGGCTTCCCAACTCCAACTGAGTCAGACCATCACAGTGTGGCTTCATTCCTTTGTTTGAAGTAAATTCCCAGAACATCAGACACACCCATACTCACATGTAAGTAGAAAAACACTTTTTAAAGCCAAATAAAAATGATTATCTGGGTTGGCTTTTCTGGTGAATGTCTATGTCTCCTAAATCTACCTTAAGTGAGAATGAACTGTAGTGAAGTTCAGCTGTGGTGAACTGTAATCCCGCCCTCCCCCCGCGCCCTGCCAAAACACAGAGAGAAACTGAGGCAAACGGAAGGGGAATGTTGGTTTTAAGATCTGTCAAATGACAAGATGATGAAAGAATTCATTAATTGAATGTAAAAACTTGAAGTGAAACATAATTCTCTTTTTCAGTGATCTGGACTTCATTGCTGTACAGCAATTTTAGTAATGGCCTAAAAAGGAGTTAGGCTACACAAAGGGGCGGCCTGTGATATAGAACTGAGGTAGGACTGCTCCAGCCCTGGTTTTGTTATTGTTTTGGTTTGGTTTGGTTTTTGTTTGTTCAGCTTGGCTCCTGTTTTTGTAAGACCGTGAGCTAAGAAGTTTTTACATTTTTAAATGATGGAGAAAAATTTAAAGAAGAATATTTTGTGGTGTGAAAATTACCTGAAATTCACATTTCAGTGGCCATTCCAGTTTCACTGGAACACAGCCATGCTCATTTGCTCATTTACATGTTGCCAATGACGGCCTTCACCTGGTAACAGTGATTTTTCAGGGTCTTAAACAGACACCACGTGGCCCTCAGAGCCTGAAATATTCAGTATCTGACCCTTTACAGAAAAACGCTTTCCAATTCCAAAGCTGGCGAAACCATACGATCCCCTCTTCTCCAAAGATGGTGTTCCTCTTTTTGGATGAGTGATTAACACACAGTTAACTTCAAGTTGACTGAGTTTCTATGACTTGAAATCCTATCTTTCTACAGGTGATCCAGCAATCATGCCCCTTGGTCTTTACCCCAAAGAGTTTTTAACTTATGTCCACACAAAAACCTGCCCACGGATACGTATAGCAGCTTTACCCATAATTGCCCCAACAAGAGATGTCCTTCAGGTGAATAAACTGCCGTCCATCCAGACAACGGAACAGTATTCAGTGCTAGAAAAGAAATGAGCTATCGCGCCATGGACAGATGTGGAAAAATACATATAACTATATGACATTCTAGAAAAGGGAAAACTGTGGAGACAGTAAGAGGTCAGGGGTTGGCGGAGGGCGGATGGAGGTGAGGGAGCAGAGCTCAGAGGATTTTTAGGGTAGTGGAATTAGTCTGTATGGTATTAATATTATAACGATGCATATGTGTTCGTTACACATTTGTCCAAACCCAGTGAATGCACAGCACCAAGAGTGAAGCCACATGGGTGCTATGGGCTTTGGGTGACTATGATGTGTCCCCATGTAGGTTCATCTTTGGAAAAAAATGTCCCATTCTGGTGAGTGATATTGGTAATGGGGGAGGCTGTGCATGTGTGGGGGACAGGGGGTGGGTAGATGGGAAATCTCTGTACCTCCCCTCAAATTTACCGTAAATCTAAAACTGCTCTAAAAAGTAAAGTTGTTTAAAAAAATCCTATCTTTCCTTCAAGGTTCCTCTCATTAACTCCTTCCTTGCCTACTATACAGATCAATTTATAGTTATTTTAAAAATAATGAACTTCTTTAAATCACTCTCTCTTTCGATCTCTATATTATGGTTCTTTGTTGCATGTATCATTTCTCTCAAATTTTAAATACCATTGGGTAAGGACTGACTGAATCTTATCCGTCTTTGAATCTGATAAAGTATCTAGCAGAAAACAGTAATACAGTAGATGCTAAGAAATGAATGCTTTTCTACATGAAGCAAGTATACCATGTTTGGAGAGCAAAACACTATTTTTTTTTCTCTCCTTGACCCTTTTCTCTTCAGCTCTCTGCCTTAAGGGCTTCCTATCATTCGTTGGCCATCTCCCACCTCTCCCAGTGCCCCTTGCCACCCAGAGGTTCCACCCAACGTCACAATTACTAGATGGTGCCTGGGTTGTTTCTCTTCATCATCCCAGCTCTCCAAAATTTCTTTCGCTGTGTCTCATTTCCACTTAAAGGACTCTATATTTTAGCATGTTCCAAGCCATCTAGAACATGATAAGAGGCAAAAGAAAAAAGAAAAACAAAAAAGTGATATTGAATTTGCTTCCTCAAGGAGCAACCCAGGCCAGCGCTCTCATAAGCTGATGCACGATATTTCAGCTAACGACTTCAATAAAAATTATAAAACTGATTGTATCATTTGGAAGAGCTTGATACCTTGAACGAACCATGTTAACAAGTTAAGAGTTGCATTATCCTTCCCAAAGGTGAGGGGAGCGGGAAACGGGGAAAATACTTTAGACATCTCTCTTGGATATGAAGGTTATATATCTTTATTGTAGAGAAAATGAATAAGAGTAGAAAGAAGGCAACAAAAATCAATGACAAGCCTTCATCTCCTTTGGCAAAGTTAATTCCAGTCTTTTTTCCCCGTTGTATTAAGATAAAAATCAAGATGCAATTATATTTACCATTTTTAATCTTTTTAACCTCTGTCAAGGAGCTCCTGTCTTAATGAAAAGGAATGCATTTACTGACAATGGAATTCCCAACATCCAGGACGGGTGAGTCCAGCAGACTGTCAGAAGTGGGTGGTTGGCTCCCCAGGGCTCCCCAGTCACGCCCCCACTGACTGATACGGTTCACACCGTGTTGTGGGCATGAACTGAAAGCCGGCCTTAGGAGACCTTCACAAACCATCAGGCGTGCCACAGATGGGACCGGACGTTTAAAGGTGCGCCCAAACATTTGGGAAACTCCATTCCTTTGCCACAAGGGCTCATAAACTGGAAAGCTGTCACTCTCCTCCAGGGTATGCTTTCCAGAGCATGGAACTAGCACCAAAGGTGGCTGGACGGATTTCAAAGAATGCCCTCGTTTTAAAGACTCTGTTGTTTTGATTCATCTGTCATTACCTGAGACGCTCAAGCCCCAAACCTCTAACTACGTGCCTTACTACACTGATGACTTCATTAGGAAATATTTGAGGGAGATTAATGTTCCTGCACAATTTCCTCAGTTCTTCTTCAGTTTTCATACGGAGACACAATCTCCCCTCCCCTCCTTCGGCCCCTCTCTGACTCTTTCAAACTGCAGGGTTTAATTGTAAAAAGGAAGGTCCGTGTTGCCTGCCTCCCTTCTAAGACATTTTTTTTCCTAATGCTTTCTTTCCCCCCAAAATAAGAATTAAAAGTGATATTTCTTTTGA